TATGGGGAGGAGGAGGTGTGTTCCGACCGCCTGGACTCGGACTTCCCCGACATAGACCTCTCCCAGTTGGACCCCAGCGACTTCGACAGCGTCAACTGTCTCAGCGAGCTCCAGTGGTGCAGCGACCAGCAAGCCCATGCCTCGCCCGCCTCCATCCACTGCAGCAGCGCCGACCAGCTCTTCCAGGTACTGCCCCCCCCCCCCCCTTCTCCCGGCCTCACCTGGTCTCACCTGGTCCTGCTCCCCTGGTCCTGCTCCCCTGGTCCTGCTCACCTGGTCCTGCTCCCCTGGTCCTGCTCCCCTCTGGGTCTGAATGGATAGGTCCACCCTGTCCCTCCAAAGACTGCAGCGTCACCGGGGCTCGTTACGGTCCTCACACCTCGCCACAGAGCGTCCTTTAGTCTCATGTTCTCTGTAGCTCTCTGTAGATCTCTGCCTCCTCTGGTGTAGAAAAGTAGCTCTCAGTGTCCGGTGACTCCCTGAGCTCTTTCTTGTTTGCAAACACTTACATACTGTAGGGTCAGACTCGAGAATTCTTTTGTCCAACCTGAAACTAAACGAGCTTAAATCATAAATTGAATTGTTTGTCCTTGTTAAATGTCCTGTACGTGTGCAGCGAGTCTGACCATAAAGTACTGATTTATCTATCTTAATCTATCTAATATAAGGCTTAAGAACGGACAAACAACACGTGTTATTTATGAAACAAAATGGTGAGGTTCTGCTAATCTGCTAAAATGTAATCTGGCTAAAAAGGGGTCAAGTATGAACAAGTGATGAGTGAAGGAGAAGGATCAGAACCTTATACGTCCACAGTGTTCCTCCAGCAAATGCTTTCTCATTAGCAACGAGCTAATATTAGCAACGAGTCATGTTAGCAACGAGTCATGTTAGCAACGAGCTAATGTTAGCAACGAGTCATGTTAGCAACGAGCTAATGTTAGCTTGTTCTCAAATGAAGCTGTAGTTTATCCCTCTGGGCTCGGGATCCACGCCCCTCCAGGACTCGGCCATGTTCTGATCCACTTCCTCAGATATGAAGGAGGAGTTGCAGGTTCATTTAAAGCTCGGGTATATGATTTTAAGGCCACAAATAAAACACACGATAATGACCTGCACTAGGACAGAAACCATGATTATATCCTGCACAGACCATTGTTTTAACATGTGTTCTATATTCTTCATGTGTTTTAACTGTTGATTCTCTGATCTGTGTCGGTGATTTCAATGGTTTTGTTAAGTCTCTGAGATGATGCAGTTGTGATTTAGGGAAATACAAGAATAAATTGTATTGTACTGTATTTTAAGCCATAAC